TTAACTTTCTGCAGCTAAAAAGTTAACTTGCCGCAGCTAAAAAGTTAACTTTCTGCAGCTAAAAAGTTAACTTGCTGCAGCTAAAAAGTTAACTTTCTGCAGCTAAAAAGTTAACTTGCTGCAGCTAAAAAGTTAACTTGCCGCAGCTAAAAAGTTAACTTTCTGCAGCTAAAAAGTTAACTTGCTGCAGCTAAAAAGTTAACTTTCTGCAGCTAAAAAGTTAACTTGCTGCAGCTAAAAAGTTAACTTGCTGCAGCTAAAAAGTTAACTTGCTGCAGCTAAAAAGTTAACTTGCCGCAGCTAAAAAGTTAACTTGCCGCAGCTAAAAAGTTAACTTTCTGCAGCTAAAAAGTTAACTTGCTGCAGGTAAATTCAAAAGTCTTCACCGGCAAAAAAGAAAATTATTCTGTTTTTAAATGACTTTGCTATGTTAATATAAATTTCGTTGTGCTTTTTATAAATACAGAAGCAAAATATAAAAGAAAGAAGCGTGACCCTTATGGGCCACCGTAAAAAACGCTAATCCGTTCGGAACCTACAAATTCGAGGGGTGGTATTTAAGCTTGCGCAAGGCAAAGTTTGAAGACCCATATCTTCGCAATCACGCAATTAATCAAAAATCGCCACGAGGAAGTTGAGGAGAATTCTTTTAAGAACAACATATATGAATTTCATGGCAAAAAAACAAAAAAACCGCTTGCAGAAAAGCTCTGAAGTAACCCCATATGTTTGTTGACAAATTTCATGTGATGAAGCGTTTTACGCATTCTTATTGGCTTGGGAAAAAATGTAAACAAAAGCGCTGATTGGTCGAGAACGAAATTCCCCCTTGTTCGCTATACGTAAATAATATCGATCAATGAGAAGTGTTTTCGCTGTTCAGTATTTATTTCGAAAACTTGTATATTTCGCCACTCCTTGACGAGTACCTTTCATGTATGCCCATTTACGTGACCGGACCAGACCAGGACTTTCTCTTCTCTCCGCTCGTCCGTACACGAAAGCCCAGTGAACGAGGTTGGGCAGACACATGAACATGTTGTTAATTTCGCGCGAAATTATTATGGACCTGTTTAAATATTGTGTAACAGATGTGTATCGGCTTCACAGCAATGTAAGACATGCATGGCAGAGTAAGTAGATGTGCACTAAGTAGAAAAGCATTTTCTAACATGCATTTTATTGTAACTATATGTCCGCTGCTAGCTATTTATAAGAGGGTGTTGATGGGGTATATCGTGAGTCGTTATTCACTCAATTTCGATCACTGTCCGACGTGAAAACACTAAAAATTTAGCGTGAATCAAGAGGAAAAAATACTGTTTAACGGTTCAGAACACTTTTCAAAGATTTAGCATTAAAATTCGAAAATGTTACTTATTTTTACCGTTAAAATGCCAAAATTTGTACTGTTACTGATTTTAAGACCCCTCCACATCCCCCCCCCCCCCAACCACCATCTATAGACCCTCTTATAACGTTTAATATAATGTTTAACATTTTACAATAGCACACTCTATGCAGTATATTGTGTGCAACTTCTCTTCTTTTCTAAACGAGACAAACATATTTCACAACATTGTTTATATTTAGTTCAAGAACTTGTAACTGAAAATCAGCTTATGAAACGCTCACAGAAATTTTACAGCCATATTATCTAGAAGAAATTGGACAAGTCTATTTTTTAACTCAACTAATGACCTCGGAATTTGAAAAGAACCCATGCAATTAGCCTTCGTCAGGAGGGCCAAATTCTGCCATGCTTGGTGTACTGTCTGCCGACGCGGAAGATTCAAGACAATTCCAATAACGTGAAAAGTGACCTATCAAGGTCGTAACTGTAAATTTACCATTATACAAACAACTACACTAATAAAAATTTGTATTTCATGGTGCCGTGGCTCTCAAACGTGGGAGAGGCAGTGCCCAAAAAATGGCGGGAAAAATCGCTAATTGTTAGTCTGTCTACTATTGGACGATCAAGCTTTCCGGTAGTAGATGATGTGCCTGCATGGAAATTCCTAGTTCTGCTGGAGGGAGTGTCCGCTACCAGTGTAAGTGGAAGACAATGAATGCCACTTGCCCATGCAGCCCACAAAACACCATTCAACGAAACAAAATAATGGTCAAAGATAAATATTATTTTCGTACTTACGTTAAATATTTCGGAAACATCTGTTGCAAGCGGCATTCTTGAAGGGGATTTACATTTTGAATAGCGATGAGACTTCATTGGACCAATGTCTTGTCGATTAAGAATTCTCATTACCTAGAAATGGATATGGAAATCCAGAACTGTTATTACATTTCAATCCAATGTGTTTTACGGGCAACGTCTAAAACATGGAATGGACCATCTGGAACAACTGGAACATCTGGAACAACTGGAACATCGAATAATTCAGTTTCTGGGCATTTTTTGGCATGGTAGACTTTACGGGTAGCGGAGTGCGGATGCGGATTGCGGATTACGGATTGTGAACCGATGCAAATCGTTTATTTCTTCGGAAAAAAGCCACAAGAATTGCCTGTAGCTACTTGTAGCTATGCTATGCCCCCTAGGAAATAGCGATATATGTCTTGGTTATAACGCAGTATACCTGCGTTAGAATGAAGCAGCCGAATATTTCGACACTAAAGAATAAACCAAGTTTGAATAAAATGAAACACTCAGATTCAAACATTTCGTAAGAAACATCGCGTGTATAGCGTATAATATACTTTTCTAAATAGCAAAACAAAATTTGCAAAGGATATTATATCCATATAACGATAAGTTACATAACTCAGTTGGTATGATAATTCAAAGTTCTTGTTCATCTTATTAGACGGAAAATGGCCATTAAGTGGAAAGCTGATGTCTGAATAAGAATAATCTCAGTGCAAATTGGCATAATATATCTTTTAATGTCAATTCAACGTTGTTAATCGCGTTGCTAATCGCGTTTGTTGGAACACGGTGCAATTACAACACTTAAGGGTATTGGCAATAAAACTAAGTTTGTCTTTTTAGAAGACATATTAGACATATTAAGATATTGCAAAAATTTAAAAACGACCTACGTGTCATTCTTCCTCTTTCAAAAGATATTTGATTCCGCATTTATCTATCCTAAGAATATGCCTGACTCGTGTGATTATAATGCCAATTATTATATGGCTTTTCAAAATTCTCTATTCTGATTGGTTGACAAAAGGTCCGTGAAAACCCATATCCGGACCGTGGTCGGTATTTTCCGTATCTGGACCGGTGTCCCGGATGTCGTTTATCTGGCGGGAAATTTTTGTTTTACAAACAGAAAAAAATTTTGCTTTGCCCTTGCAAAATTGTGTGTCATTAAAATTTACAGATAAAAATTTGAAACAACCAAATTGTTTTTTTTTTGTGTGTTGGTGTTATGTAATCAGGTGAATATGATGTTTGTGATGTTACTCTGAGTGTGCATCCACTCAGAGTAACATCAAACCGACTTGACCACGTAGCTCAGTTGGCAGAGCATTGTACTAGTATCCCAAAGGTTCGATTCCCACCGTTGCCAAGCTAACTTTTCATCTTACCCGGTGTGGATGCATACTCGAGTGACATCACAAAAAACCAAATTGTTTTTGATTGAGCATGCATGCCTACCGTATATTGTTACCCAGTGAAACTGACGATAGCCGATTTAATTCGCGCGAAAAGCATATGCTCACAAGTCGTGTTTACACTACCAGCATTGGCCTAGCCTTGGCCTACATTTTGACAGTGTAAACAGACTTTGGCCTAGCCTTGGCCTGAGTATTTTTATGTGTTAATTGTGACGTTGTCCGCTAGTTGTCGGCTAATCTCTCACTTTGGGCACACGTTGCCATGAAAATAAGTCCCAGGCCCGGGCCGAAAGTGCTTACATTTCCACAAGCCTAGGCCTAGGCCACCGGTTGTAGTGGGCCCAGATTTCCTGGCGTAGGTCAGGCCAAGGCTAGGCCAAAGTCTGTTTACACTGTCAAAATGTAGGCCAAGGCTTGGCCAAGGCTTGTAGGGTAAACACGACTTGTGAGCATATGCTTTTCGCGCGAATTAAATCGGCTATCGTCAGTTTCACTGGGTAACAATATACGGTAGGCATGCATGCTCAATCAAAAACAATTTTGTTTTTTGTGATGTTACTCTGAGTATGCATCCACACCGGGCAAGCTGAAAAGTTAGCTTGGCCACGGTGGGAATCGAACCCGCGACCTTTGGGATACTAGTACAATGCTCTGCCAACTGAGTTACTTGGTCAAGTCGGTTTGATGTTACTCTGAGTGGATGCACACTCTGAGTAACATCACAAACATCATATTAACCTGAGTACATAACACCAACACACAAAAAATAAACAATTTGGTTGTTTGAAATTTTTATCTGTAAATTTTAATGACACACAAGTTTGCAAGGGCCAAGCAAAAAAATTTTCTGTTTCCAAAGCAAAAATTTCCCGCCAGATAAAAGACATCCGAGACACCGGTCGACATCGGGGACACCGGTCCAGATACGGAAATACCGACCACGGTCCGGATATGGGTTTTCACGGACCGCTTGTCAACCAATCAGAATAGAGAATTTTGAAAAGCCATAAATAATTGGCATTATAATGACACGAGTCAGGCATATTCTTAGGATAGATAAATGCGGAATCAAATATCTTTTGAATGAGGAAGAATGACACGTAGGTCGTTTTTAAATTTTTCCAATATCTTAATATGTCTTCTAAAAAGACAAACTTAGTTTTATTGCCAATACCCTTAAGTGTTGTAATTGCACCGTGTTCCAACAAACGCGATTAGCAACGTGATTAACAACGTTGAATTGACATTACTACGCATTTCACTGATATGTGCATTCCGCATTTTTTTTTCGCTTCCGAACGACGGTCGACGGTCAACGTTCGACGCAGGCCTGGTTACAAAATTTGCCGCTTTTTCAAGTTTGAATTTTCTGAAGTTAATATAAATCAATATAAATAGTCAATGTCTTGTCTTGAATGACAGAGGTATTGACGAAAACTTGAAAAGGGGCCAATTTTTGTAACCAGGCCTGCGTCGAACGCCGTTCGGAAGCGAGAAAAAAATGCGGAATGCACAGATCAGTAAAATGCGTAGTAAAAGATATATTATGCCGGTTTGCACTGTGACTATTCTTATTCAGACATCAGCTTTCCACTTAATATAGGGGGCCCTCTACCCTCATTTTTTTGTTCGCGAACCTATGTAGAACAGTAGCTCTATCTTATTATGGTTTAATGTATATGCAACATGCCATATATCATTTTAAAGCTTATAACATTATCTACACAAATATCATTACAGATGACCTCCAAGGAAAGAACTTAAATGTATAAGAACCATGTAAAACCGAAAAGGTTAATTTTTAACCCGTCCATGTTTGAAATCTATCTAGTAAAAAACTAAGCATCAAAACTTGATATATTTAAGTTCTATAATAGATTACATCCCAGTCAAGAAAATAATGGATGCTTTTTGTGTAACACTCTATTTTGTTGCCATGGCAATGAATATTAGGTAAGGATGTTACTCATTAACACCAATTTTGGTATAGAACATCCAATTTTTATCAGAGTGTAAAAAGCATCCATTAATTTGTGCAAAAATACCTAAAGAACAATCTCAGAAAAAATCAGCAAGATTGCTTAAATACTTTTGGAGTTTTTAGGATTTAGGTAATGGCCGGAAACCAGTGAGAAAACGCCATTTAAAGTTCGTTAACTATAGCACAAGCGTTTTCTAATGTATTACTGTAATATACCTGCCCAAAGCCAACACATATCACTGTGGGAATGTTAAAATGTCACTTTCATTGTCTTTTGCTGATGAAATGTGCCAATGGGGCATCATCACTGTCCTCGGAATCACTGTCCTCGGAATCATTGTCCGCCAAAAGTCTAGCTAGTGGATAGTCATCATCATCAGACGATGATGTAGCATAATCAAGAGGGTCAACATCGTTGAACTTCCCACTGGCATATGAGGATTCACCTTTCTCTTGGTTTGCTGCAAGTTTGGCTTCTCTGATTTTCCTCCTTCTTTCCTTTTTCTTCAACTTTGCCTTATTTACAGAGTGCCTCATCCTTGTCGCATCTTTCTTCTTGCAGCCTTCCAGGGTGAACTCACCACCAGGGATGTTTGCAGCCTTCATGACATCCTGTCTTGATGCAGCACCACAATTGAAGGCCAGCACAGCTGACATAGCAGCAATTTCAATAACTTGAGGCCCTTTAAATCGGTGTTTAGGTGCATGGTTCCACACAAGACTGTTCAAGCTCTCGTTGACATTCTGCGAATAACCGGGAAGGCAACGAAGCAAAAGAGAATACTGACTCAGACGCTTGAATTCAGGGAGCAGAAACTCCAAGAAAACTGCATCTAAATGATGGTCCTTTCTCTGAAGTTTTCCTTCTCTTTTATGAGAGCACCAACTATCAGGTCCCGATGGACAAAATTTGTGTCTCTCTTTGTCATCAATAAGTTCACATGAATGGTATAGAACTGCCATTATAGCCTGTTGCATGATGGATATTTGCTCGTTTTGCTGTTGTGCAGTTAGCTTCCCAGGTTTGACATTTGCTCTGATTGCATTGCCATAGTATGTCTGGAGCTTATCTATCACTTTGTCTGTCAGTCGATGTTTGCTACCCTTCACCGATTTCCCATCCTTCAGCTTGGTTACTTTCTTCCTCAGTTCCCGCAAATGAGTTCCCATTCTTTTCTGTACATGCCCAACACAATCCAACTTTGTCACCCTGGAACAATCGGCCTTCCCACTCTCATGACTTTCCTTCCATTCTACATAACCCTTAGATTCATGCCATTTCTTATACTCAGCTGAACGTTTGTCGGTGTTTTCCCATTTCTCACAATCAGCACAGCAACCATATGTATCCCAGATACTAGCATAGGCTTTACTATCACCGTCACTAATCATAAACTTATAGTGCAGATTGTTCTCCTTTGACCGGCCCCATATCTTCTTGGCGATAGAGCACTCCATTGATCCACTTGAACCAGTGTGAGTTTGGGTACATTGTTCCTGGTGACCACCAAACCAAATATCAAACTCAGGGGAATCTTCACCCAGATCCTTCTTTGCTATTTGACATTCTCTACATATCTTTGATTCAAAGTCATAGTCAAGCACCTCACAAGTGTCAGCTGAAATAACAAAGCCAATACCAAAGTTTGCTGTGTACCCTCGTTTCGACCATGTGCCATCGTAACTCACAGCAATCTCTGCAACTTCGGACTCATTGTCACTGTGGCGTGAAGACTTTGTCTCTTGCTTCCTGTAACTGCTCAGAAACAGCTTTCTTGTGGGCTTCATACAGTGCAGTCACATGATTTTTCCAAGCATTAGGATGGCAAGGAGGCGGCATGTTGAAAATATCACACATAACCGACATTCCATCTCTCCCCACTCCCATTTCCATTGCGGAGTAAACCATTCGTCGATTGATGTCAATGGAA